CCCTGGGCCCAACTCCTTATCCACTGTGCCAAATGATAAAAATTCAATGCTTTAAGGTTTTCAAAGCACATTATATACATTTTGTTTGATCCATAACTTTGTGAGGTGGTGGGGCAGGGTGGGGAGGTCTGTTATCATGCCCATTTTACAGATGAGCTCAGAAAAGTGAAGTGAGTTGCCCAGGGCCACATGGCTAGTAAGTATCTGAAGCAGTATCTGAATGAGTGTTCCTGATTCAGGGTGCCAGTGTCCTTTCCACCAAAAAACTATGACTTGTATATATTTACATAGGCACATGGTATTCTTTATAATTAAAATGTAAGCAACTGAAGGGTAGGGACTATATAACCTTTATCTTTATATTTCTAGCACTTATTAAGTCCTTTAGTCTTCCCTGACTCTTCATAACCCCATTTATCAGGTTTTCTTGGCAAAGATACTGGAGTGGCTTTGCCATTTCCTTCTCAAGGGTCCCTATTTTACAGTTGAGGAAACTGAGGTAGAGGTTAAGTGACTTGCCCAGGGTCACAGAGCTAGTGTCTGAGGCTGGATTTGAACTCAGATCCTCCTGACTCCAGGCCCCCCACTTTGCTGCTCCTGAAATTTAAGGGAAAAAAAAAACTTGTTCAGCCATGTCCAACTTCTCGTGACCCCATTTGGGGTTTCCTTGGCAATTTTTTGGTCATTTCCTTCTCCAGCTCATTTTACAAATAAGAAAACTGAGGCAAACAGGGTTAAGTGATTTGCCCAGGGTCATGTAGCTTGTCAGTGTCTGAGGCCAGATTCAAACTCAGGAAGATGAGTCCTCCTGACTCCAAACAAAAATATGCTCACTAGCTATCTGACTAGGCTAGACAAGAGTATCTATCTCTTCATTCCTGCACTCATTAAAGTGGTACAAGAAGTCATAAAATATTTCAGTTTGGCAAATAAAACCAAACTCTTCACTGCAAATAATTCTATGATTAGGAAAAGGGACTAGAGCGATAATTTCACTGGCATAATATGTTTCTGGATGAGAGAAATCCCTCCAGGAATAAAGACTGACACTTCCTCGGCAATTTATAGTCTTAGGTGCCCAGGTCATAGACCCTGTATTTATCAGAAACATGACTTCAAGCTGGGTCTTTCTAGATAGCTACACCACAAAAATATACATTCCAGTGGAAGAGTATATATTCAGAAATGACTGATATTAAAAACAAAAGGCAAAAATGTATTTTTTAAATGCATCGCAAGCCACCTCCCTTTTTCTCTTTCTTTTTGAAGTCCCTACCAATAAAGAGAATGGAATCGGGATCCTATCTGCAGCAGCATGAGCAAAATACCAATAGAATTCCTGGTCACGTCCGCGTTGGATTACATGGCTTCTGAGATGCCTCCCAAATCAGAGGTTTTATGATTGTGACCGAGCTTGTGGAGTGTGTTTTGGGAGGTTGTGGAGATCTTAAGGCCTCTATTTGACCTGAAATGTTCCCTAGATGCTCTCCTCCTTCAGAGTTATGAGAGAAATGCAAAACTCCAAGCGATCAATTGTTAGACCAATCAATTCAACAAACATCTAAGTTCCATGTGCAAAGCACTGATGAAAAGGGCAGTGTCTAGTTTCTAGATCCCTCTTTAAGTTCTCCAGAACCAAAAACTGCCTTCTTACGCAAAAAGCATTGCCTTTTCTGGTACCAAACATAAATGTTCCAAGTCCCTGCAGCCTTCCTCCTCCTAAATGTCCCATTCCCCAGGATTTGTGAGACCCAGTACAGCACTGTGCACAGAAGTAGTAAACTGATTTACCAAGCTCCATTTTATCTAAGCAATGAACAATGACTTGGTGGTAAATCAGACTTTACCTCTTTAACTGTTGTTTGCTTCATTTTGTTGCAATACCTTCCTCTACTGTGTTCAAGACTCCTTATATGTGATGGGTTGGAGTACACTAACATAGAAATACCATCCCAGATAACTTGAAGTGTTATCCTCACAAAAGACTTGTGAAATAGGCAACTGTTCTCACTTTACAAGTGGCTCCGAGGTCTAAGCTGACATATAGTGATTTAGCAGGGACTTGAACACAGTTCTGTCTTCCCTCTCACTGTACCATGTGAGCCACTCAATTTCAATTAAAATACATTTAATAAGGCTTTGAAAATTTCAACTTTCTTTATTAGAACACATCTGCCATTTTTTTATTTAGGAAATAAGGTTGCCATCCAAAGTAATTCCTTGTTCTATCTTCAGTGCATTACGTCTTCAAGTATATGAGAGGCAACGTGGTATCTCACAGTGCCAGGCTTGAAATCAAGAAGATCCGTGTTTGAATCCTGTCTCAGACACTTACTAGATGGATGACCCTCAGGGCCTCAGTTACCTACCTCATCTGTAAAAGATGAGGATTTGAATAAGATGGGGGACAGGTTCAGGGGTAAAGAGAAATGCAGGACCAGGGGCTGGTCTCACCACCCCTGGGCTGCATCTAGGTAATCATGAAGATCTCTCCCTAGGCATATGGCATCAATCAGGAAGCACTGGTGCTCAAGGCCAAGGCCATGAGCTCTTTGCTCAGTATCCAGTCACTTAGTCCTATAAACGTGGAAGCAGAATATTTATCAAACACTGCCAAGGATTCAGAAATTGTTCAATTTCACACAGATGCATTACCAAAGATTTTAGCCAGTAAACCCCTGATAGGGAGATGATAAGAATGAAAATGATTGGAAGAAGCTGCACCTTAAAACATAAAAAGCAGCACTTTATAATTAGCCTTAGTGCTGCTTACCACTTCCAAAACCAGTACCCATTCTACTAAACAAAGCTGATAAATTTTAGTCCCTTAACTTTTCTGGAAGTCCAAACAGATTCTATCATGTTTACATTAGAATTTTAGATCCAATACATCTATCCTCTCCAGCCTGGGGAGTAAAACAAAAGCCTCCAATGTACTTGGTCTACTTTATATTTAAAGCCATTACTGATCTATGTATTTATCTTAATATCATCTTTGTAGTATCAGGCATTGATCTTCTGTACTTTTATGAAGAGCTTACCTTTTTTATTAATCGATACAGAATTAAGCTACAGTGATAATAAATGCAAATTAATATCATGCACATATAAAATTGTTTTGTGTACCAAGCACATTTTCAGTTAAATATGTAGTTCATTGTTGTTGTTCAGTCATTTCAGCTGTGTCTGACTCTTCGTGACCCCACTTGGGGTATTCTTAGCAAAGATACTAGAGCAGTTTTGCCATTGCCCTCTCCAGCTCATTTTACAGAAAAGGAAACTGAGGCAAACAGGGTTAATGACTTGACCAGGGTCACACAGCTAGTGTCTGAGGCAGGATTTGAACTAAGGTTTTCCTGACTCAAGGCCTGGTGCTTTATCCACTGAGCCACCTACCTGCCCATTTATGGGTAACATAATACTAATTTCTATATAGCAAGAAATGTTGACTACTTAATGAGTCAGTCTTTTTAACTCTAAGGTTTTCTCATGCCATATTTTTCTTAAATGTACTTAATTTCTCCTAATAAAATGTTTCATTCATTTCATTCATAAAGAGAGATGAAATGATGAGTAGATTCAGTGATATCCAAAGTCACTTTTTGTTCTAAATCTATGAACAGACGAATAACCACTCAAATACAACCAACCAAGTTGTATCATCATTTATGAAGAACTCAAAATTCAATTAAATACTACTCCACAGAACCTTTCAAAAGGTTGAGATCAATCAACCATATCATGGTTAGGTATATAGCAAGAGGGGATGGGTTGGGTAATAAGTTGACACATTTTTGCAAATGGCCCTTTACCATACACTAGAATTGTTTTTCTTAAAGGTTAGATAGAAACTAATGGTGAACATAAATAAAATGATTCAACAGCTACATAAGAAGCAAAATACAAAGCATACTACTAAAAAGTCTAGAAACTTAAGTATGTTTGATCCCCAGGACAGAATGACTCTCCACCACTTAAAAAGATTTAAGACTAGATTTTTACCACCTCTGCATAAGATGAACATTATATAAAACAAATAATGCTCTATGATTATGCAACTTATGTTACAAAAAAGCCAGATCCAAAAGGACAACTGTGCACAAAATAATTTATTACAGCATTACACTGGTTGACATAATTTTACAGTGAGTTTTTTAACCAAAAATTTGGAACTTAAATACATGAGGCAAAAAATAAAAAATAAACCATTTCAATTAGAACAGTTTACTTGTCTTAATAAAATCTCCCCTTGTTTTTGCCTTAAAGGGACTAGTTAATATTACTGAAATATTTACATAGCAGTGAAATAAGAAACAGAGTGATTTCACTTTTTTTGTACAAGCGCAGTACACTTTAAGATCTGAGAACCATTCCTATTGAATGAAAAGCTACTGCCTTCCCCCCAAAAGCTATATTATTGAGTAGGATCATATCTTATTAGCTAAGCTAACCAAAGTTTAAACATTCATTGTGCTATAAGGTACGTCTGAATGCACTCATCAGTCAATGCACCCCACACACAAAGTAAGAAAGGGTTTCATTATAATTTAAAGTCAGCCTATTGACTTTCCTTGAAGAATAAGGACAAAAAAACACTCTTTTAATATAAATTCCTTAGTAGTACTGAAAGTCATTTAGTGAAGAAAGCATTATATTTCTTGGCTATGACTTGTATGAAATATGTAAACTGACCAGTGAATTTCTATGACTGAGGGGGGAACTAATCTCCACATCTTTAATCACTAAATCACAAAAATGGAGTGTCTTGGTTAAATTGTTAAATGAGCATTTCTGAAAACAAAAGGAGGGCCTTGGTATCTGAGCAATACCTCTCAGTGATAATGTGTGTTTAAAATGGTAAAACATGAAAAACGTAAGGAAATCATTCCAACTTATAATTTTTTTTTTAAGTGAGGCAATTGGGGTTAAGTGACTTGCCCAAGGTCACACAGCTAGTATGTGTCAAGTGTTTGGTCTGAGGCCGGATTTGAACTCAGGTTCTCCTGACTTCAGGGCCGGTGCTCTATCTACTGCCTAGCTGCCCCCTCCAACTTATAATTTTTAAAAGACACCTCTATACCTCCCATAATGTGGTCCATATTTTAAAAAATCATGCAAACAGCCAATACATTCACAATAATAAGCTTTTTAAAAAACCACCAGGACAGATTAAAATTAAAAACTTGAAATAAAATGTAGTGGGAACACTGGTATCATATCCAACATAATTAGCTAAAATTGTTCAATGTCTAAGTTTAATCAGTAAGAAATGATCATATTTTTGTAACACTAAGGTGAAAGCAAAGTCCTCATCTACTGTAATGCTCATAATTTGGGAGTTTGGTAGATAAGACAAACTGTACAAATATAAGCATGATAAATGGTGATTACAGATAAGGTTTTCATAAACAGTAGCAGCTGGGGGTCAGGAGAAGACAAAAGCTAATGGTATACTCCACTGTTAAGTTTTACTGCCCAAATATCTCACTTTATGCTTATCAGATATTAAAATGCACCCTGGAAAAGTAATCCTGATCTGAATTCAGCCATGAGATTGTAAATCAATTCTTTCATGATATTCAAATTTCATTCGCCATCACATCATGGTTAATAGTTGTACGGTTTACTGATGCAGGACTATTGTCATCCTCATTTGTAGGAGGCAGAAAGGCAGGTGAAAAGGGAAACAGTTTATGACATGCTGTCCGGTATTCTTCATACTGGGTATTACAGATCCCAAAGCTGCCATCAATCAGTGCCTCAAAAACTTTTGTTAAAGTCTAAAGAAAGAAGATAAAAAATATACAAATTAATTAAACATCCTCTGCCAATAAGCTGTTTAATCAAACCTATAATTAGTACACTGAGAAAACCTAGGTGAGTTCTATAGATTATATAATTAAGCACTATGTCCCTCTATTTAGGAAAATTTTTCCCTTAGAAAGACTATTAGGAATCAAATTGTAAGGCATGAGAAAAGCAACACAATTCCAAAAGTATCCTTAAGCAATGCAAAAATAAAATACAAATAACTAAAAATATAAGTGCTAAAAAAAAGCATACTTAAAACAGCTCTCTTAGAAGATTGTTTTGTATCTATAAATATGAACACAAGTTTGAAAGTTCATCTCAACAAACATTAATTCTGTACCTTTTAAGTGCAAGGTCCCCCATAAAAGTGATATTCTGCTGTCCCCTGAATATACAAAGACTGTGAGAGAGAAATACAACTTCTATCATGTTTTACCACACTAGGAAGGCTTTAAGTACTGACTAAGAGACAAATTATCCTTACTGCCTAAGGGTTAATCTAACTAGAGAAGGGCTCAGTAGCAGCAGGCTGGCCACTAAGTAAAGAATTCTCTGACCATGGTAATCCATGGAATTAAGAAAATATAAAATGGCCTCAGTCTTAGACGGTCATCTTCTTACTTCTTCAACAATAATGACAGAGTGGCAAAGAGCGAGGGGATGGAGAGGTAGGGTAGGGGGAAGAACATGAGGGGGAACACACAATTCACTAAGAGTCACAGTTTAGAAATAATCTTTAAACATTAATAAAACTATCCTCTGTGAAAACTTTATCTAATGAGAGGACACACTAAAACTGAAACACAGCAGTACTGTCATTCTCATAAATGAAACCAAAAGACACAATGGAATTCCAGCTAAATTTTTTATTACATAAAGAATGGCTCTCTGGGAGATGGCAGTAGGAAAGCAGAAGGGCTACAGAGGGATATTCTGATAACGTCAAAAGATACAAATAGGGGGCAGCTAGGTGGCACAGTGGATAAAGCACAGACCCTGAAGTCAGGAGGACCTGAGCTCAAATCCAGCCTCAGACCAAACACTTGACACTTACTAGCTGTGCGACCCTGGGCAAGTCACTTAACCCCAATTGCCTAAAAAGGGAAAAAAAGGTACAAATACAAAATTGTTTTAAAAATAAATATAACAGACAATGGGGGAGGGGGCAGAGAATTCATAGTTATATGCTCTTCTCAGCAGAGAATAAAGAAGTTAAATGAGCCAATGCACCGAAAGACAAGAAGAAACATCATTTCATGTGATACTTGGTCATCTGGCCATACAGGGCTCATGATAAGTACAAATAAAACACTGCCATGAAAGTGTGGATTATGTGTCAATATGCATGGTGGAGGGTAAAGTAAATGAATTTCACAAAGAAACTGAGAAAATTCTCCAACCTAACATATACTTTAATAGTTGGTGGCTTCAACACGAAAGTGGGCACCTGGGGAAGACAGCAAAAACTATACATGCAAAATCAAAATATGTTCCAAATAGGTATATGATGTAAACATAAAAGACAACATCATTAAAAAAAGTAGATAAGTAAGGAAGCTACATGGAGAGGGGATGTAGGGATATCTGGATAACAGGGAAACAGGTCATAGACAAACATGGGTAGAGAAGATCACAGAAGATAAAATGGGTCATTGTGATTACACAAAATTTAAAAAGTTTTGCACCAACAAAACAAATGCAGCTAAAATTATAAGGGGAACAGGAAATTGCAACAGGTTTCTCTCAAAAAGGTCATCTCCTTCTCAAGATACATATGGAACAATATCAAATTTATAAGAAAAAAGTCAATCCTCCAATTGATAAATGGTAAAGGGATACAAATAGACAGTTCTCAAAGGAAGAAATCCAAACTATCAATAGCCAAATGAAAAAATGCTTCAAATGACTAATTAGAGAAATGCAAAATAAAACAGCACTGAGGTGCCACCTCACACCCATCAAACTGGCAAAGATGACAAAAGAAGAAAATAACAAATGTTGAAGGGGCTGTGAGAAAACAAGCACATTAATTAATGCATTGTTAGTGATGCTGTAAATTGGTCCAGTTATTCTGAAAAGCAATTTGGAACTATTCACAAAAAAATCACTAAATGGTACCTTGCACCAGCAATACCACTACTAAAACTAAACCCTGAAGAGACCAAAGAAAGAGGAAAAGGACTCACGTGTCCAACAACACTATAAAAGCTCTTTTTGTGGCAGCAAAAACCTGCAACTTAAGGAGGCACTCATCAACTGGAAAACTGCTGAAGAAATTATGACATATGAATGCAACGGAATATATTGTACTTGTAAGAAATGATTAAAGAGGTGATTTCAGAGAAATCTGGGAAGACGTATGAAGTAATGCAGAGTGAAGTGAGCAGGAACAGGAAAACAATTCATGCAATAACACTGTAAAGACAAACAACTTTGAAAGACTTTGAAAGAACTCTGATAAATTCAGTGACCTACCATAATTCCAGTGAATCAATGGTGAAGCAATCAATGCAAATCCTGACAAAAAGGAGCAAAATGGTATCTTTTTGGACATGGCCAATGACAGAATTTATTTTGCTCAACTATGCAAAGGGGTTTATTGGGTTGGTTTTTCCTCTCTCAACTACATTTTCCTGTCCTGTTAAGTGACACTATTTATAACTTTCTGAATTCCCCATAATGTTGTGAAATGAGCTTGTACCTTAACCAGTCCTCATTAATCTTAGGGCTTCCCTCCAGGACTACTTCCAATTTATTCTGTATAAATAACATATTGTCATATGCAATATTTCATTTTTTATTAATTTATTTTGATTTATCAACAATCATTTCCATAAGCTTTTGAGTTTTAAATTTTTCTCTTGAGTTTTAAATTTTTCTCCCCCTCCTCCCCACTTCCCTCCTCAAGATGGCGCACAATCTGATATAGGCTATACATATACATGCCTATAAAACATATTTTCACATTAGTCATGTTGTAAGGAAGAATTAGAACCAATAGAAGGAACCATAAGAAAGAGGAAACAAAATAAAACAGAAGAAAAAAAATAGCAAATAGTATGCTCCAATCTGAATTCAAACTGCATAGTTCTTTCTTTGGATGTGGATAGCATTTTCCATCATGAGACTTTTGGAGATGTCTTAGTACTTAGCCCTTCTCTGCAATACAAGGATTTATCAAAGTTAGTCATCCCATAATGTGGCTGTTAACTGTGTACAACATTCTCCGGGTTCTGCTCATTTCATTCAGCATCAGTCCATACAAGTCTTTCCAGGTTTTTCTAAAATCCACCTGTTCATCATTTCTTATAGCACAATAGTATCTCATTACATTCATATCCCACAACTTGTTCAGCCATTCCCCAATTGATGGGCATCCCTTCAATTTCCAATTCTTTGCCACCACAAAAAGAGATGCTATAAATATTTTTGTACATGTGGGTCTTTTTCCCATTTGTATGATGTCTTTGGGATACAGCCCAAGAAGTGCTATTGCTGGGTCAAAAGATATTCATATTTTTATAGCCGTTTGGGCATAGTTCCAAATTGCTCTCCAAAATGGTTGGATCAGTTCACAACTCCACCAACAATGCATTAGTGTTCCAATTTTCCCACATCTTCTCCAACATTTATCATTTTCCCGTTTTGTCATGTTGGCCAATCTGATAAGTGTGATGGTACCTCAGAGTTGTTTTGATTTGCATTTCTCTAATCAATGGTGATTTAGAGTATCTTTTCATGACTATAGATGGCTTTAATTTCTTCATCTGAGAACTGCCTGTTCATATCCTTTGACCATTTATCAATTGAGGAATGACTTGTATTCTTATAAATTTGACTTAATTCTCTATATATTTTAGAAATGAGGCCCTTATCAGAGACACTGGTTGTAGAAATTCTTTCCCAGTTTTCTACTTCCCTCCTAATCTTGGTTGCATTGGCTTTGTTTGTGCAAAAACTTTCCAATTTAATGTAATCAAAATTATCCATTTTGTATTTCATAATGTTCTCCACCTCTTGTTCAGTCATGAATTCTTCTGTCCTCCATAAATCTGACAGGCGAACCATTCATCATATGCAATATTTCAAAGGCAAAAGAGATAGGCTTACAACAAAAAATAACTTGTCCTTTAAAACTGAGTATAATTCTACAGAGGGAAAAAACATACCTTTAATGGAATAAAGGGCTTGTAAGCATTTCTGATTAAAAGACTTGAGCTGAATAGGAACTTTGAAATAAAAAGACAAGAGTTCAAAAAATCTTAGAAAGATGAATATATTTGAGCAACTGGATGGAGCTATATGATGATGCATTACTAATATTCTAATGGAGAAAAAGAAACAAAGGTCCCTTCAGAACCTTAACATCTTCAAAGAGTACTGAGGGAATTAAGGAATAAAAACAGAGCTAGGGGTGAATTAATTTTGTTCTAAGGGTCTGAGGAGGGGAGGAAAAAGAAAAAGTTAAAAGAAAAAAAATGTGGTAAAGAGAAAGACCTTTCTATTTCTCATAGTTGGTACGTTTGGAAAGTTGAGTTTTGTGAGGAGAGAATACAGAGATGGAAGGAAAGCGTAGGAGACAGAAGGCATCATATGAAACTCACTCTTATCTAGCAGATTAAAAATTGAGAAAACACATGCACACACAATTAGTGTAAAAATACATTAAACTCAAGAGGGAAACAAGCAAAGATAGGGGAGGCAGGCTAAGAGGGAAGATAATACCAGAGAGGAACAGTCCCAACCAAATCAAACTTCCTGATCCTGAAGGAAGGCAAAGAACTAGTGTCTAATGAAGCACCTTGGATTGCCTCTTTAAAAATTGAGAAATAGGGGCAGTTAGGTGGCGCAGCGGATAGAGCACCAGTGCTGAAGTCAGGAGGACCTGAGTTCAAATCTGGCCTCAGACTAAGTACTTGACACTTACTAGCTGTGTGACCCTGGGCAAGTCACTTAACCCCAACTGCCTTAAAAAAAAAAACTGAAAAATGGCTAAATAATCTGTAGTTGTAAATGTAGTGGAATATTACTGAGCTGTAAGAAAAATTACACAAAAGAAGATTGCAGAGAATTCTGGAAAATATGAATTGACTCAGAGGGAAGTGAACAGAAGCAGAACAACTTATATAAGGACAGAAATATTGCAAAGTAAAACAACTTTCATTGACTTAATCAAAGCGATGACCAACCACATTTATAGCGGACTTAAGATAAAGTATGTTTTACTGACCTCTTGACAATCATGAAAGACTCATGGAGCATAAAGAGACAAACATTTTTTGATATGACCACTGTGTGGATTTTTTTTGCTTGACTATGTTTATTTGTTACTCAGGTTTTATTTTGGGGTGGTTTTGTTGTTGTTGTTGTTATTGTTTTGTAATCTCAGTTTTTAATTGAGAGGGGAAGGCTGGGGCAGGGAAAGAGAGGTCAGTAACAGTAATACCAAAAAAAAAGAGGGTCATTGAAAAAAAGTTTTAATGCACTGAAGAGAACAAAAGGAAGTTCAGAAGGAAATGCAGAAAAGCAGGACAATTTTGAAAGTAATGTGGAATTTATTATACACACACATATTGTTTAAAGCAAGTAGCATGAAATAGATTGCTTCATATGTTTAATCCTCTTTTAGTGTTCTTCTATATATAGGGAAATGCTCTTTTTTCGGGGGGGAGGGGAAGTCTTTAAATTCAGAACAGAAAATTTTGTTAATGGAAGAGAAAAAGGAGGGCCAATGTCTTGAGCACTGGATCTGGAATGGGATGACAAGTTTGTATAATGAGAATCTCAATGGAAGAAAGACTGCTGAACAATGGCAATAGAGAGAGAATCTGCAGAATCTGCAAATGGCAATGGGGAGCAAGTAAGTCATACGGTATACCAGAGGGTACAGCCAGTACCAGAAAGATGACAAGCGATGCAGGATCATCCAAAGGGAGGCAGGTCTCAGTGAGTGTGAGAAAACAGAAAGAGTAAAAGAGGAACAGGTCAAGAGATATATGGAAAAACACACAGACATTTAGTTTGCATCACTTATAAACATGAAAGTTTACCTTCACATTTTTATCTTTTACATTTTCATCCAACCTAGTGGCAATAGCAATTGCTTTCTCTTGTCTTGATTCATCTAGGAAATACATCATTTTAGCACCTAAAATCACAAAATGTAAACACATTTAAAGATAAGTATAAGACACATGATCTTTTGATTTCTTTTATAAATATATTATCCAAATCACCAGTAGTCTAGTACGGCTACCTTGGTGTTCAAGTCCCAAAGTTGTTTCCATTAAGCAAGCAGTACAAACCAAGATTTTTACCAATTTAATTAAACACAGATTTTACCCTACACTTTCCTTCTCCCATAGTCTCTAAATAATTATTTTAGTATTGGTTAAATGGAAATATTCATAAAGAACTCTGAAATAATTTTTTAAATCTCTATCTACATTATTTGGACACATATAGACCATGTCAGGTATGCTGTAGGGTGATTTTTTTTTCAGGTATGGATGGGTTGGACTAGATGTCCACTGAAGTTCCTTCCAAATCTAAAATTCAGTGATTCTGTGACCACCGGGCTACCAATTTAATAGCCTAAAAAAGTAATTTGCTAAGTAGTATCCCAATGACTTTAAAGTTACTGTATCTATAAGAGATATTTAGCTCACTAGATTCTGAAACTAAAAAAATTATAGCAAGCTTACCTGAAAGTAGATGCCGAAGAGAGGTAGCATTATGTTTGAGAAATTCTTCATTAAAACTTTCCAAATCTTTGTTAACAAAGATTTTCTGCATTTCTTGGGTTAGGACTTTGTTCACTATTTCTGGGAGATTACTATGATTAGACACTGAAAAAAAAGTTTATCATTAATTAAAATCTCCTTAGGTTTATCTCAACCTTCTCTCTCTCTCTCTCTCTCTCCCCCCCTCTCCCCCCCCACCCCCCGTATAATAAGATAACAAGAGTAGTGCTAGACTTAGAATCACCAGCTTCTGGATATATTGATATATACATACCCACATATATATATGTATGCATATTTATAAACAAACACGTTATAAATTTATTGCTATTCTTTAAGAAACACAAAGGGAAACATAAGTAATAAAACTATTTCTCACTTAATAAGTTTGTATTAAAGATACTTAATTTTGAGCCAATAGCAGTGTATGTGGTGTGTCCCAGTGGATAGAGAGCCAGCCTCTGAGTCAGAGAGATCTCAAACATATTGGCTGTGTGACCCTACAGACTGCTTAACCTCCTGGAGCCCATGCAGCTTTATCCAACCATAAATTGCAAAGCTGGTGCTGAATTGTACTAGGAGAGGGAGTTTTGTCACCGGAGTCACCCATATCAATGAAATCACAGGTCTATCTATGCCCCCTACCTGCCACTACCACTATTTTCTATATTCTAGTATTTGTCTTGTGGATGTATTTTTATTTAGCCACAAACTATTTCACTCAGAGAAAAATCTAGGAGTAAGAAAAGTGTGAATAGTATTCATTATACTTACCAGATCTAGAGAATTTAATTAAACACTCATGTAGCCATGGGTTATTACGGTTAATAGCAAAAGCTCTTTTGACCGACTGCAACATTAACAAAAATTTTCCTGTATCATAAAATTAAAGAAAATCATTCAGAATATTTTATTTTTTTGTTGCATTTTAATTAAGTAGTCTTTCCTCCCCACCTCCCAGAGTACTCAGTTTATTATTATTATTATTATTATTATTATGAACATATAACAAAACTAACTATGGAAGACAAATAGGCAATTCTGAATCAGAAAAAGAGTTTTCTTGATTCTTCACTCTGAACAGCAACTATTTTAAAATGGTATTCAACAATTCTGGGCAAGTATTAGAAAAACAACTAAAAATAATAAATTCATTATTTTCAACTTCTTAATCTAAAAAAATAAATCCATGAATATATTTTCTTTAGTTACATTGGTAACTAAAATGGGGACAAAACAACTATTTATATTTATCAATCCAAATACAATTTCAAAATAATCAACTTCTTTTAGCCCATCTTCCTAAGCTGTTCCCAATGATACTGCATTTGTTGCATGTCTAATACTCTCTAAAGTCAACTGAAACATTTTTAGTCAAATAATCTTCACTTGTCTTTAATATGAGAGATGAGTATTCAAGTAATTGGTATTGATATCTCTTAAAAACTATCTGAGGAGCAGCTAGGTGGCATAGTGGATAGAGCACCGCCCCTGGATTCAGGAGGACCTGAGTTCAAATCCGGCCTCAGACACATAATATTTACTAGCTGTGTGACGCCCAGTCCTGGAATACCTAAGAGCTTTACTCATTGAAAATCATACTTTGCTATCTTTCAATTAAACTATGATCTCATCATTGGGGATACTGCTTTCAATAATGCAGATCACAATCCGTCCATGTCTTCCCATCCTATGCAACTCTTGTACATATCACCTCAAATCTGGGGTGTACCCACCTAGGTTTCTTAACACTGAGTGGAAATCAACAGAGCACTTGCGTTAGCCACTGGATATTTCTCACTCTAGCTACATGATCAGTCTTTCTTTTTCCAATCATGTTTTTCTGATGGCATCCTTTGCCACTTCTCCTACTATAATATAATGTTTATAATGCTAAAATATATAACATACATGTTATGTGCTTTAAAATGTAATGCTCAAGCTGACTATTCTCTCTTTCACTGACTACTATGTAATTTTTAACTTCAGGCTTTGTTTCAGAATAAAGCTTAGGTTCAATTTTTAAAATCTGCACAATTTTCCAAAGGCAATCCCCTCCAATGCAATACTGGGTCTCATCATCCATACAGAATTTCTGTCTAAGGTGCATGTACTTATGTACAAGTTCAATGGGTTGCCCATCCAACTATATATCAATATGGAAATAGATATTCTTTACCTCCTTGGATTTTCCTGTGTAATTCAGAAAAACTTATGTGAGATTATGAGTCTCAATTAGGCAGATCTGTAACACTCCAACACCTGATGAGATTAACAGTATCATCCCCAAAATGGCACTTCTAGAGGATACTATTAGACAAAGGAAATCCCTCAACAAGTGCTTCATGCTGAAAATCCTCCATCACAGTGGCAAACACCCCTTAGAAAGCAATTAGCACTAATTCTGACATGTATCCTATTACGGGTGCTGATCTAAAGTACTGTAATATTTTAATTAAGCAGTTATATTATGATAAACTGCTTAATCAATTTACATGATGATAACCCTAAAACATAGTTTAAAATAATGCAGCACAGACATGACTTCCTATGAAACCACCCTGGCAGATAAACTAGCCTAATGTAAAATAATCAAGATAGCTTTTTTTTTTCCTTAAACAAAACATGCTGGGAAGAGAGTTTAAGAACCACAGTTACAAAACAAAAGATAGTCTTAATATCCCAGCACTGTTAATCACATACATATCTTTGAACACAGAACTATAAGACCTAATGGTAGTATACATACAGTCTAAAACTTTTAACAAATGACAGTTGCAAAAATATAATAAAATTTGTAAATCAGTCTTCCAATTTCCCCAAAGATTAGCAGTGAGGAACAACAATAATCTGATATTCAGATAGGTGAACCAGTGTTAGCTTGCAGACTCTTCAAATTTAAAGTCTGCCAAATCTAGGTGAAGTTAGCTCAAATGGCCTTGAAAAAAATATTTTCATATAACATTGGGGTACAAACCCCAAAGAAGGCTTAGTGGATTTCTGTGCTCCATATTCCCTAATATTTGAATTCCACATCTCAATAATTTCCCACAGACAGTAACAGAGTTGAACCCATACATGTCCTAAAATGATCTTAATCATAACAGGAAGCATTTCTGTTGCAAAGCAGAATTTGGAAGTAGTAGTAGTATAGACAGGGACCAAGCCCCTTTTTCTGGATGATTAAGTGATATCAAATGAGTTCTGATGGTTGTCTGAAGTATCTCTGGCACAGAGTGAGCAAAACGTCTTAACCTGAAGGGAATAGTGGGAGGTGCTTGAAAGTGGAGTGACTACAATTTCTGAGTTGGGTGGCAGCTGAATATTTCTGAGAATCAATAGAGGGGCAGTAACAAGACTTGGCTAATATCCATTAAAAGAGTAGGGATGAGAGAGGAATTCATGTTGGAAAGCAGGGGAATTTCTTCTAAGTTACTGGGAAAAAAAATCATTGAGAATAATTTCTTTCCTAGGCCTTGACAAATTGGGATGAGGGAAGTTATATAAACAGTAGAGATAGATGCTGGCCTGAATAATGGCGAAAAACCCAAGGACTAGATCCATAGGACCATAAAGATGACAATGGAATACTGGGCTGAAGTCTTAGTTCTGAACTCAATAATGATTATTCCCATTACTATGACATTCATTTTAATCAAAAGTTATGAATAAGTATACTATTTCAACATTCCAACAGAAAGGACATACTAATCAGGCTCTGCTAATTTGGATACAACAAATAATCCAAAGCAAACATCCTTATGCCAACTCCATAGTCCATGCGATAATCATTTTCTATGATGAAGCATCTGATTACATAGTTTGTAGATAATTTCCATTTGCTAATTCACTTGAAAAGCTAAACTATAGACATTTTTGCTTATTGCTCCCTAGTGTTTTTTGTCCCTCACTTCTTCCCACTTAAAAGAATTTTTGCCAAAAAAAAAGAAAAAAAAACCTAACTAAATTCCTAAGCAATATATTAAAGAGAACTGAAGAAGATAACTTAAGTACTACTCTGAGTTCTATAGTTTAGGACAGCCATTGGAACTCATCCAAAGGAGGGTGACTACTAAGTATCCTGATCAGGTCACATGAATGAGAATGGTTATAGAATTGGTAATGTTTAGCCCTGAGGAAAGAAGATTTGAGTTGACATAATACCTATCATCAAATATGGTTAAGACTGGCAAATGAAAGAGACTTATACTATATGGTACCAGGGGTGGAACTAGGACCAATGGGTAGGAAAGTAGATTTCTGCTCAACCTAAGTTAGAAATGTCCAAAAGAACAATGTGCTGCCTCACAAAACAGTGAGTGCTCCACTGAGGGTGTTCAAGTACAGGCTGGATAACCATTCTGGAGTACTGTTGTAAAAAGGAATCATATGACAGGTAATAAATACATTGGATAAAGTGATTGCCACTGGCTAAGATCTCTATGAATGTGAAAAATTCATTTGGATCTGGGACCTCATAGATCTGGATGTTTTCTCTAGCAACAAAAATAACAAGCAACCCATCCATGCACACCCATCCTATGGGACTCTTAACCATATTTTCTCATAAGTTTACCACAGGAGGTCTATCCAATGCGCTGAAGGTCTCCCTTTTTTTGTGTGTGGAAATTCTAGGGTACCAGTGGAATATGCTGGCTGTTTATACCATTATCTCTTCTTATCATACATTTCCCTGACCGCATTTTTTACTTGGGTTCTTCTTTGAAATTTTTCATTGGTAATATGTTGCAACTTGCTCACACCTACCATGAACTTCTCCATAGCTCTCTGCATGATAATCATTTTCAACTCTTCAGTCTTATTCCAATCCCTCATTGTAGTATGAAGATGACTCCGAGTTCTCAAAGATTACAATAGCAAAATGTAAGCTCTGGGAGGCCCCAGCAGGTTATAAACCATTGAGTATGGCTCTGATATATTAAGTCTGGTTTTTGAGGAATGATCTAACTATAAGTACAAAAAGCCTCATCACCAGGCTGGACACTCGGTAATTAATTCTTTGGCCATGGCAATCCACAAAACTAAAATGTGAAAATGGATAAAAATGGTAAATATGTGTGGTTCCTAAAATAACCAATGATTCAAACTAAAAGAAAAAAAGTTTTAAGTCACCTTACCTTTTCTAAAGTATATTTCAAATGCTAAAAGATGAGTGTTTATGTTATCAGCAAGAAGAGTCTTAAGTGGTATAAGGAACTTGATAGCTTCTTCTAATGGATTTTCTACCTGTTTTAAAAGGAAAGTCAATGTCATTTAAAACATAGCGCTAAGAACTGATCTTATGTCCTCTTTTATCCTTTTTAACATCAGTCATTTTTCTTCGTGCTCTCTTTTGCCACTCTGAACCCTTGTTTTCAACCAACTGATACAGCGGCATACTAACACCACATACAACTTTCTCCATTCAGAGATCCCCATCTTTTTTTGAAGAAAAGGGAGATGTCTCATCCTGTTCTCCTGAACCAAGATTTTCCAATTCAATTAATCTAATTAAAATTATTTTACAAGTTCTTATCTACACTACTGTAGTCTTATGTATATTGTTCACTTGGCTATGCTTTCTTTGTTCTGCATCACTGTTGACAAATCTCTAAATGTCTCATTCTTTGTTTCTTATGGCACAAAATTCTATTACATTCATATGCTACAATTCAGATTTTTCCCAACTGACAGGCACCGGTTTTGTTTCCAGATTTTTGAGATCACATAAAGTGCTTCTGTGAATATTTTGCTATACATGGGGCCTTTCTTTCAATGCTCTGGGTTAGCAGTAAGATTGCTAGGTCAAAGGGTTGTTGACTTCCTTCTTCCTCCTGAGGTCTCTATGGGTTTTCGAACCACCATTCTCTCCAAGTTTTCCTACCTGTCTGACAGCTCCTTCTCACTCTCCTTTGCTGGCTTGTCATCTGTAACATGTTCTGTAACTATGTGAATACCACAAGGCCCTGTCCCGGACGCTCTTCTCTTTTCTACACTTTCTCACTTGATGATTTCATCAATATCATTAACTGTCATCTCTATGTAGATGACCCCCAAGTATTTATTTACGGCTTGAACTTCTCTCCTGAGATCCAGAAGCACATGACCATCTATCTGTCTGCTGGATATTTCTACTGTATATCTCAAAGACATTTCAAATTCAACATGTCCAAACCAAAACTCATTTTCATTCCTTCCAGACTTCCCCTATGTAGAATTTCCCTATTTCTATCAAAGGCACCACCATTCTTCCAATCTCCAAGGTTTGTAACCTCAGCATTGATTCAATCCTACTCTCATCCTATCTATCCAATCAGCTGATAAACCTCTAGCATTTGACCTCTTTTCTCTATTCACAGAGCCTTCACTTGAATTTAGGACCTTATCACTTCTCATCTAGAATAGCCTCATAATTCGTTTCTGTGTTTCAAGACTCGGGTCCCTTTGCTAATCCACTCCACACAGCTGTCAAATAGATTTTCCTCAAGTACAAGTCTCCCCCCAACCCCCACCTCAATAAACTCCAATGGCCCCTTATTACCTCTAGGTTCATATAAAAACTTCTCTGCCAGGCTTTTAAAGCACTTTAAACTTGGTCTCAATCTAACTTTTCAGCCTCATTATACATTACCCCCTTTAGCACACTCTATGATGCAAACTGGCCTTTGTACTGTTCTCATATGTGACACTTTACTTTCCATCTCTGTGACTTTACCCTGGCCACTCCCCATACCTGAGAATATCTCCCATACCTCAACCATAGCCCCACAGAAGTCCTAACTTCCTTCTAGACTAAGCTCAAGCACTGCCTTCTACTACATGAAACCTTTCTGGATCTTCTTCACTCCTAAAATGCTAGTGCTTTCCCTTCCTAAACTACTTTCTATTTGTTTTATTTCTTTACTTACATACATGTGTCCATGTTGTCTTCCTTGAGAGCTAGGACTGTCATTTTTGTCTTTTGTTTCCTCAACATAATACCTGGCACACAGGTCATATTTAACAAATGCCTGTTGAGAATGGCTCCAAAAAAGAAATATGAAAAGATACCCCCACTCCACTCCTTTGTACAAATGGTTAAGTCCACAGCTATGGAACACTGCATATTCTCAATGTGTATGATCGATTTTGTTGATGTTCCCCCCCCTTTTTCCCCTTCTTTTTACTTTTCTTTAAAATTTTAGTATTTGTTATATGGGATGGCTTTCTGAGAGAGGGGAGGAAATTCTGGTGAGATACATACATACATATATATATATATGTATATAGAGTTTTTTTTTTATGCTTGTGATTGAATGATTGATCTGTAATGTCTGTTTAAAATATAAGTACTAATGAAACAGCTGTATGAGATTCCAACTTTATACTGGTCTGGAAAGTTTTACCTGTGTAGATAATTAAAACAACTGGATAATAGCACTTAGGAGGCTGTGTGTTGTTCCAGATCTTAATGCAATCAGCAGTATCATTAATAATAATAATAACTAACATTTACAGTACTTTAGGGTTTGCAAAACACTTTATAAATATTATCTCATTTGATCCTTACAACAATCCTAAGAGAGAGCTGCTAAGAGTATTATCTTCATTTTACAGATGAGGAGACTGAGGTAGATAGAAGTCAAATGACCTGCCCATGAGTAACACAGTTAGTGAGTGTCAGAGGCTGGATCTGAACTCAGGTTTTCCCAACTCCCTGGTCCAGTGTTCCAGCCATGAAGCCATCTAGCTGCCTCTACAAAAATGAGATCCCTCTTCCCTTTGGACTATGCACTGGGCATGCTTCACAATAGTGGCAAATACCTTCACTGAGATTATGTCAGTGTCTCCTTTGATATTAATAATTAGGGGACTGAATAAAGTTATTTCCATTTTTACAAATTTCATGGCATCCTGTATGATTTCAGCACATACACAAAAAATATCTTGTTACAGAGTGCCTCTAAAGGAATTTTTTCCTCTAATGAATCAAATTTTTTTATAAACATACACAAAGAGAAAAGTCTTACATTGTCTGAACCTTCCAGGCAACTGTGACTAAAAAGATGTGATGTGACTTCTGTAAAAATCTGTTCCTTTCTACTATCTTCAATCAAGGATACCCTTAATACATGTTTTCCCATGTATCTACTCTTAAATGCTTGTTGATTGATATGTAAATCATTCTCAACAATGTTGCAGATAGGATCAAATAAACCCATGAACTATAGATACTATTTTCACTAACCGCTTTTTTTAAAGTAAAAAAACAAAGTGCATGATTTTGCCAAGTGTTCAGTATTCCTCCCTTTCAGATGCCTTGAGAATCAATTCTCCAATACCCTCAAAATGGTGTCACCTCTGGCATGGACTCATTTTGTATATACTTGTTTTAGTCCAGCTACCCTTGTCCTCTTCTTCTCTTTCAGCACCATTTCTACTTGCCCGTGGAACACTAAGGGAACTGTGAGATGGAGCCTTCATATTTGAATCCTGCCATCCTTATTCTGAGAAATGTTTTACACCCGTTAAGCTTCCTTACCAACTGTTGGCTTATCTTTTTTCAATATCTGTTTTTTAAAATCAATTTCCAATTCTGAAATATTAACAGCTATGATAAATAAGCCAATCTGAAATTATGTCTGCTCCTTTTATTTTCTGCTTTCAATTTGGTATTGATTTTTGTCTTTGCTCTAACAAAATAGTGACTGGCCAAGATAGACAGCTAACTAAGAAATCATTCCAGAATTGAACAAATTATTACTTATCTGTTAGAAGTCAACAAATTAAGAAAACAAACATTTATTAAGCACCTACTCTATGCCAGATTCTATGCTAAGAGTTGGGAAAATGTAAAAACCATTCCCTTTTCTCAAGAAGCTCCTAGTCTCATTAATAGGAGGGAGAACATTCAAACAATAACTGCACAAACAAGATAGAAACAGTTATCAATTGGATGTAATCTTAGAGGGAATGCATTAGCATTAAGGGGGATCAGGAAAGTTTTCTTGCAGAAAGTAGGATTTTAGCTGAGATGTGAAGGAAGTCATGGAAGCCAATAAAAAAAGGAAGAAATCCAGGCATGTGAAAATATAGGGAGTCATGAGATGGAGGGTTATGTGTGAAGAACAACAAAGAGACTATGAAAATAGAGTCGGTTGCATTCTTTATGATATTACTTGGAATTCACCATGGCAAGAACCTTCCAATTCTCTTCTTGAAGAAAGTAGTCACAGAGTCAAAAAACTTCTATATAGTTTACAAGCTTTTGGTCTCCCTGATTTCTTACTTCTGGAACCATACTTTCTACCATCTCCTCCCCTGTGTCTACCTTTGCATTGAAATTACCAAAGATTAAACCATGTGACAATTTATTTTGGAGGTTCTTATTAAGTGCTTATTGTAATATCATTATGAAAATTTCTCTACCACCAACTACAACAGATATCAGAGCATAATCTGCAAGTATCTTTATGAAGGTCTTTTTGCAAATGCTTATCTTGAGTGTTGAAATAAAAGAGATCAAATGTTTCCCATGAAATGTTTCTTATTGCCTTTGGATGTATGACAAAACCAACTGCTTAATATTCTTCTTCAGGGAGAATTTGTGTGCCATCTTCTTTTTAGCTACAATTTCCTTTGGCTTCTAGTTTCAGAGAGTATTTACACCCTTAAAATAATTAAAATTTTGTGCAACTGTGAAAATAAAGTTATCTCTAAAGTGTAAGGCATAAGGAAACAGGCCAGAATATACTTGAAGTTTACAAAATACTTGTCATGTAATTAATTTTTGTTATCAACTGACACTCATTTTTACCAATATTATTACCGATGTGAGGACCAGGAAATGACTTCTAAATCAAAGACTAAATTATGTCACTATTAGAGCAATCTATTCTCCAGAAGTATCAGAACATGGAGATATCATTGCTTTAACATATCTGTCTCACCCTTTTAAGTTTTTCAGGTACTAATTCTTCCTTGGGACCACTGGTTTTTTCTTCCTCATCTCATTTTTTCTTCCGATTTTTTTGTTGCCGTTCTCTCTCAGCATGTTTCCTCTCTTCTTCCAATTTAGCTTTTTTCTGGGCTCTTCTCTGCTTGCTGAGCATTTTCTTTAATTCTTTGCCTAAAAGGTTTTCTACAAATACAAAAATAAGCCATAAATTCTTATTCAAAGTTTCATACAGTAAAACAATATTATTTTGCAATATTGTTAACTGAACTCATGCAAACCACAGGCCTAATTTTTTGATATCAAGTTTCTGTAAACTATAGATACTGATTTCTCAGATATGAATGCACAAAATATTTCACGTTTTTGATGCTGAGGAATTACATGGTAGGTATACATGAATCCAATAGGAATAAGACTATATAACATTTAATATTCCTCATATATCAAGAAGTTAATGCAAAATCATACTGCAATAAAACCTACATATATCTAAACCATGGTTTTCTTTTTCTTTTTCCTATTTTACAAATGACATTTTAACTCCAAAAAATCTTTTTATACTAGTCAGTTCCTTGAATTTCCTAAATCATGTTATTCTTCTCCAAAATCAAGTAAAATAATGACCTGAATATCTGTTAAATTATTCTCTACACAGTCTCACTACTGTTGCAAAGGACAGAAAATTCATGAGATTTATAGCACAACCTCAAGTCCATTTGGAATTAAATCTTCTCGTGTAACTTGCAATTTGCATAAATGCTAACTTGAAGCTTCTATCCCCTTGTCTTATGTAGTTCTTATCAGTTACCTGAATTCACTTCTTGTTCTTTGCTTTCATTGGTTAATGGATTATCATGCAATTTCAAGTATATTTCAACTGCAGATTGAGCAGCCTTGAAATAGAAAGCATGTTTCCTGAGTACATCCTCTAATCGCAAAAGGTCAACGTAGGCACGAAGAGTCATCTTTCTCATACAGTATGTATGGAAGTCAAACTGATTGTCTGTTATCTCAAAAAAATGCTTAAAAACAAAACCAAAAAATTATTACACATGGTCATGACTCCCATTCTGACATAAATTGGCCTAAGTGAACTTCTGAGGTCCTTGCCATTTTTGAGGTTTTACAATTTGATTACTAAAACCAGGAAAAGTATTTTTATTTCTATATAAAAAAATACCTGGAATTTGAAAGCAGAATTTAAAACATTCACAACTTCTCTTGGCAGCCCATTCCAGTACTGAATCACCCTTACATGATAAATTTTCCCTTTTGATTAACCTATATTTCTCTTGCTGAAATCTAAGCCTATTTCCTCTAGCTCTACCTTCTTTGAAGAGAGAGAACGTATCCTCTTCATAATATTTGATACGTTTTAAGGCAATTATCAAGTTATACATCAGTGGCCTAACATAAAGAATTTGCCATTTTTCAAGCTTTTATTTACATTTTTCTTCATTTTAAAAAAATTTTCCTCATATGTCAGGCCTCTCATCTATCTTTCCCATATATAAATCAATGCAGATAGAATGCTCCTCTAGAATCTGTATGCCTTAGCTTTCCTTACTCAATAGTTCTCCTAACTTTTATGCTACTTTGTTAAGAGTCAAATAAAAGGAGAAAATTGAAGGGTTCTTAGGCAGGAAGGAAATAACAGGAGAACCAGTTATATAATCTATTGACAATTTTAGTCAGTTGGAAAAGATAGGGACCCATTCAACTAAATAGAAACCGCACAATGACTAAAGATATAGAGTTGGAAGGAACCTTGGAGGTCATGTAATTCAGCACCCTCATTTTACAGATGGTTCAGGTAAGTTAAGTGATTTGCCCAAGGCCACATAAGGATTAAGTATCAGAGATAAGATGTGAACCCAAGGTCTCTGACCACCCAAAGCCAGTGCCAAGCCCATTATGGTCTATTAAACTTTAAAGTTCTGTTCTAACAAAGGAATTCAAAGTTGAGAACTACATACATACAACACAAGAAAATAAACATAGTACATAAAGGATAAAATTAATAAGCTCATATTAATTTGTAAATCTTTCAGAAATCATGGAGTAGGCATATGAACAAACATACATATGAACTCATGCTCATCAAGTCATGCTTCTGTTCACTAAGATAGGAGGGAACCATTTAGATCTAGAAATTTCAATGCCATCTCCTTATCAGTAACAGCCCACAGGCTGCCTCTCTCCACCTGTCTTCCATTTAGTTACATGGTTACACAGTTTAGGGTTGGCACAGTGACCAGTTTAGGATTAAAATCACTTTGAACCAGAAAAATAAAGTATACAGATGGTTTAAGCAACTCACACCATTTTGTTATTTCTGCTTTTTTGAGAGAAAAGGTATAGAGATGCCACACAGAAATAAAAACAAAGAATAACCTGGGAGGATTTTTACCCTCAAATTTTATAACACTAAGAAAAGCTAAGCAAGTTAAAAGCAAAGAAAATAAACCTAATAACTCTAAAATGAAGCCCCAAATAAGTCTAGTAGTATATTAGCTAGTCAACTGAAAAGCCTGAAAATTAATTAGCTATAGAAAACTGTAGGAAAAACCCACATTTACCATACATCACAAAGCAGTGAAGCAAAGATCTATAATTATATTTGTAAGTTATGAAAGACACCAGGAAGAACAGATTAAACAAGTCAAAATCAGGTTCGAGTTAAAACAAGATTTTTAACAAGATATTATAGACTCAAGAAAAGCCATTTGCTTCTCTTTCTCAACATTCCTTAAGCTTTCTCACCGTAATGGCTGAGATTTCCATCATGAGACTATGACGATACTGAATTATCTGCAGACAGGTGACAAAAGACCTCAAAATTAAAGAAGTAGTAATTCAATAGTCACTAGATAATTTAGTCATGTCAGGTAGCTACTCACTTTATTTCCTTAATAAAGTATTGATAAATAAGACTAAGCAGCAATGGAATATAAGTAAAGTGATGAATTTCTTATGGTTCTGGATCTAAGCAAAGAGTTTTTAAGAATATGTTGTACCAATTACAAATGGACAAGACAAATTAAAAACCAACTTTTTAAAATCTCATTTCCTTAGAGATATAAGATGAACAAAATCTATAATCCTGAAGCACAGATTTTCATTGTCTTCAATAAAAGTGGCTATTTTCTCCACAAAAGATACTGGAAAGAGAAAGACGCTAAATGTGAACTTCAGGATTATCTTAGAACTCTAGCATGTTTAGTACAAAAAAGACTGAAAGAACATTCAGAATAATGTTACCCTTCATGTGAGACTTCTATGAAGTTAGAATGAAGAAAATAGATATGGATTTGAATTGTTTTCTCTTTATCCTCTGAGTCTTACTTTAGAGATATAAGGAAAAATGAAAGACACTTGAGAGTCCCTCAAAAAAAATTTTTTTGATAAGGTTCATTGGTTACTATTGCAATGACGCCTTAAAGATAATAATTCAGTTTCTCTAATTTTCAGTTAAAATTAAGTCTGAGTTTCTTCTCAAGTTTATTACTTTTAACAAACTTTATCTTTTTAGACAGTGACTTTATTTAGAATTCAATATTTAGATATTGAATTAACATATTTTACTAAGAAAAGAAGAATTAGATTCTGTTTATTTTTGTACAAATTTTTAACTGCACAGGAAAAACTGGCTTATTAATGCCTTGATATTAACAGTGAAATCTTTTCTACATTATATTCTTCTTATTCACTTCATTTTTCCAAACACAACCAATCTCTACTTTGAATTTAAGACTTATGATAATAGTTTATTAAATTAGCAATTGGTAAATATGCCCAGAGGGGGTGATTTTCGTCCCTGGTTGTTCTATATGAGTATGAATCGATTTATTAAACAGAATTTAGGGATTTTATGCTCTGCTCTTTGGCATAGTCTAAATATAGTTTAAATAAATCACTGACTATATTCTGGTAAACATGAAAGTATATTCTGTACTATGGCTAAATCTATTGGGGGAATAGAACCTAAGGTAAAGAATATATAGCCTTTCTATAGAGTACCACAGTTATGATGATACCAGACATTCAGTATAATGCTTTTTATCCAATTGTTACAGTTTAGAGCTACAGGAAATTGCCATTAGCAGATAAATGGCAGTCTAGTAACTTATTTAAGGAGATGACCAATTTCCCACGAGTGTAGTACTGGTCATCAAAAACCTGCATTCTCTTCTTTAATTAAAAAGTTTTTTTCACTGTTTCCATTCCCACCTTTTCCCACAAAAAAGACTAATTTAAATTAAAATGCTCAGGTACTAAACATTTGTTTCAATCAGGGACTTTATAGGCTTTCAGATGAACAAGAAAAGGATGAAGAAAAAAATGACCCCACAGACACTGGACACTTACATAGACCTATTAAGACATTTACCAGCCCAAGGGCACAGAATCTGGATTGTCCCTAGAAGTGCCTGGATAGAATTAATTCTAGCTGGTCATTCACTTCAATGTCCCCCATTAAGATGTCTTCACTTTGGGTAACAGCTCAGTGTCTTCATATGGAGAAAAGGCCAAAGTTACTGCCATGGTGCAGACATCAGGCTCACCTGACTACAATGCCTGTGGGTTTATACTGCGCCAGCATGGGAAGAGTAGTGTAGAACGACCCCACAACTGAGGGCTGCTGACGACTGCCACAAGTGGTGCATTTGCAGCTTTTTTCCTCCTGTTGTCCATTTGGATGGTGAGTGCTTCAGAGATGACAAAGAACAGGAAAACAAAATTCACACAAAGGAAAAGAAGAGTCTCCTCACTAAACCTTTTAATAGTATGGAACAGTAAGACATCACACATATACACAAATGTGCATGCACGCACATCCCTAAAAATTTTTTTCTTAAAAAGCCTTCAAACTGGACACAGGTTGTTGTAAGAGGCACTGCACATGAGTACGAATGTTCTGGGAAGACAGGAAGACAAGTTGGAGCGAGACTGGCTGGGGTCTAGACCCTGATGTAATAAGGAAAAAATAAATTCAATGGGCCCATAGATTGCCATATACTTAAGTGGTCCCTCCAGATTCGTGGAAAATTAAATAACTGCCAAATTATAGGACAGAAACTATTAAGTTATGATCATTATTAAATAATTCCAGCTAGCTGGGTTTTTTCCCTTCCTTGAGGTAAAAATACAACAAACCTAAGAAAATCATGAAAACTAAAAGAACAAACAACTAGTCACAACTTCTGCAAGTTTAGATAGTTGATATCAAAATCTCTCTTCACCACGTAGTTCCCAATGGAATTAGAATGGACAGGCACATAGAAATAAACCTGCTATCTATTACTAACCACTTTTGGAGAAAGAAGATGCCAAAATGTTCAACCACTTACTTACCCTTTCTATTTCATGGCATTTTTTCAAGGCTTCACCATATTTCCCCAGTCTTTGATAAGCTGAAGCACATTCTGTCTGATACCACATACACTGCATTTCATTTAGATTTTTCATGACAGATGTTCCTTCCTAAAGTGAGAGTATGTAAAACTTTCGTGAACATACATATATAAAGTCCTAAAATCTTACTCTCTCTTATACAGAAAGTTTTGATTACCATCTTATTAACAGAATTAAATCCTATTTCATTTAAATTTGTTTTCTTCTACCTCTCAATATAAAAATCATAGCTGTAACTCATTCTACTCTGAATTAACTGTTTAAGATTTCAATTAAGTAGAAATAATATAATCTACTATAAATAATGATCTTCATATCTTTTCAAAAGGTAGCAACTAACAGTTCAAAATTTCTTACACAATTTAGACTCTCACTTCACTCTCCTAACATTATCCAGCACCTGGGGGGAATTAAGTGTTTCACCAACATATGTTTTTCAAGTAAGTACAGTTTGTACTTCGAAGTACCAAAGCTTCCATTTTAACATTTCTAAGGGAAACCTAGGAAGATAGCTAATGAAGTACACAACTTCCTGGCACAAGACCTTTTTATGAGCATCCATTACTGTATAGTCATACAGTTCTGGTATCTGCCTTTTTTTCCCTGTTTTCTCCCTGGATGTCATGTCAGCTTTTATTTTTCTGGCATCATAATTAGCTAATTCTCTTCTACTTTGCTGCTTCTAATCAACTATGGGTTAAAAAACAAGTAATTAAAGATTGTATAAAGCAGAGGATTTCAGCATAGGATTTCATTAGACCTTTTTTGTTTACCTTGTGGTTTGGGAATATGTACAAAGGGATTCTAGGTGTCTGAAGTCTGGCATTTTTCCATGCTATAAAGGCAAAGTGGCAAAAGCACATTTTGAAAAGAATCTTTCCTCCCTTTCCTTTTGAACTTTCACTTCATTGTTCACAATTCTTACTCATTAAAAGTTCACAATAAAGTATGTATTAAAAATTGGTTGGTAGTAATGTGCTTTGCTGAAAGAATGCTGAAAAAATGTATAGTTTCTAATGAGGAAATTATTTTGGTTTAGGAATATTGGGAAGAATTAGTTTCTTGAAGGTAAGGACTGTATCTTACTTATTTTCCTCAGAATCTAGCACATTACATTGTACATAGTATGCACTTAATAAATGTTTGAATAAAGTTATTAGGGTGTTGTAAGTTGAGAGAAACCAAATCAAAAAGCTGCTCTCGGGCCAGGAGAAATTATGTGATTTTCCCAAGGTTGTACAACAAGACAACAGGTAATAAAAAGGATCACAGGACCTTACACTAATGCTAGAAGAAACTCTAAAGAACCTCTAGGGTAGGTGTCAAACTGACAGTCCATACTCACAACACTCCCTCCCTAGTATGGCCTGAAATGGATTAAAATGTATTTGGGAAATATTTTAAAAAATAAATAAAAAGACAATAAAACACAGATAATGTTAATATGCAGTTTTCTAAGTAAATATAGGGCCCACAGGGATCCTTACGTATAGTTCAGCGGCCTCATGTGTATTTGGGTTTTGATACCACTGATCTAGGCCAATTCCTTCATTTTACAGATGAAAAACAAGCCCAAAGAGGTTGTGACTTGCCCAAGTTCTGGAACTTAGGCTCTAAACTCCTAGCCTAGGACCCTCTAGGGCCTGTACCACACTAAAATCCTACAATCTTCTTTCAAGTTCTGTAAGTTTTCAAATATTCAGAGCATTTTTTAAATACTCTTTTCTCTTACAATCTTTACAAATGCTCAACTTTCCTTTGATTACATTTTTCTTTCAAAATTCATCACCCTAATATGTTTATTTATTCAAACACTTATTAAAAGCCTATTATGGATAATGGAATGTACAAAGTTCTGAGGGAGAGAAATAAGCTGTAGTCCCTGCTCCTAAGAAGCTCAAACCTCTTAACTTCCCCAACAGTAACACTACTTGGCAAGCTCAAGTCAGTACCTCAAAGACTCCACATTAGTATCTCAGAGCCATTACTCCTAACTGGCCCCAATTCTACATAAAAATAAAGATGCAAATTTTTATTAAAAGCTTTCAAAAATAATGACAAGTTAGCAGTTGTCTAAGTATCAGACTATAATATCTAAATAGCAGAGATTCATAAAAGGGTTTTTTTAATTGAAAATAACCATCATCTCTAGACACTACTCTTGTTCTAAAAAATACATATATTATTAGAATACAAAATAAACCTTCAATACTAAGAACAAATTTAATTTTCCCATGGAAAATTTTATGCCTACAATATAAATTTGTAAATCTAATAAAACCTCATGAATTAGCAATCTATTCATTAAAGAGCACCTCATTCACAGTACTGGTTTTAATAATCATGATAAATACGCTTTTAGTCTTATTGTTGCTACTTTATTCAGAGTACCTACCACTGGTCATAAACTAAAGCCCTGGTCGTTTCATTATTCCAAAACTGCTGCTGCTGTCCTTTGCTCAGAAACTTGCCTTAGTTTCACAGAATTTTAGAGGTGGAGAGGATCTGGAAGTTATCTAGCCCAACCTCCAAACTTGTAAAAACAAAAACCTTGTTAAACTTTGCAGAAACTCATCTAACTGATATTCTCCCCGCTCCTCCTCTTCAACCTCTCCACAACGGCAGCTTTTTCAATAACAGCTTCTTCCCTACATCTAACTTTCTAGGTCTAATCTTTTACATTGTCTGAATAAAGTTTCCTTTTCATATTTCTTCCTCCCTATAACTCAACACACTGAAATATTCTTCAGCTTCACTGTTTAATATGTGCCTGAAAACAGTAAAATTGTACAGATAAAGCAAGTTAATTTGTATCAAGAACCTAGCCTAATACTCATTCTTAAAGGTCAACTGCATTCTATCATACTTTCACATATGTAAGGGTATACAAGTATAGGAGTTCTACATGAACTTATAGGATACTATTCAATTTATGGCATATCTGAACATATATAATAATAACAAGTTATGTTTTAATGGAATTCAACTGTATTCCATAATTCAGAATTTTTGCTCAGAATAATCATTCTTTTGATTAGTCCTAATTAGTGAGGTTTTACTCTACTTCACATGCCCAAAACACAAATGTTCCAATGGACATTAATATTTCCTACCCTTGTGAACTTGAAACACATATCCTCTGCCTCTTTCACCATATTTGCTTGAAGCATGTATTTTGCACATTTTGAATTTATAAATCTATCAGCTGTGTCCAAAGACTGCGCTTCATCCATCTACTGAGCAGCTTCCTTTAAATGTGCTAAAAGAGACCAAGGGATCATCACTTAAAAGACAAATATTATATCATAAAACACAGGATATGAGAAATTTAATTTTAAATCTTCCATTTGCACTTTCCAAATAAAAGTTTATTTATATAGAATAATGTTTTTGGCATTACCTAAATGTTTCAATCAAAATCCACATTTATTGGCTCTAAAATATAACATTATTTTGCACTGAAAAAACACATTTCTAACATCCCTATCTATAATGCACCTTTTTCTCTCTCTGTATATATGTATATATGTGTGTGTGTGTATATATATACATATAATATACATGCAACCACTTTAGATTGAATATACAATTTTATCATTTGAAAAAATTACAGTAAACTTACCTTATAAATTTTTGCATTTATATAGAACAGTTCTATTAAATTTGGAGCGCTTGCAATTGCAGCATTAATATAATCTAAAGCCAATGAGCACTGGCCAAGTTTGTCAAAGTGCTGTGCCAGGAAATATCGAACCCAAACTAGTGTTGCTGGGGGTTCCTTCTCTCCATTTTCTGCAACAAAAAAAAGATACAAAAAAGTCAAAAGCCAACATGGTTGAAAACAACTAACACTACAGCATTCAAAAAAGGACTAATTAAACTGAATTGACTACAAACTACTTAGAAATTAAATCCAAGCTAATTTAGACTTACCATATGGACTAAATAAGTCACAAGTTTTTAGAGAAGTTTCATAACTAGTAACAAGTTCCTGTATCATAGAAACCTGTTAAAGAAGTAGTAAAAAAAAAATTCAACCCTTGAAAATAAGTCCTTAATAATATTTCTAATATGTATATGCAGAATGGATATGCTTTTCAAAGATCAATATATAAAAACCTTAAATTTGAAAAACATTGCATATGTCCTTTCAGAATTATGCAGAAATTAAAAAAATATTAGGCTTTTCCTTGATCCCTGAAACACGAAGAAAAATCTTCTCATTGGGAAGATTGAGGAAAGAAAAGATCTGTGGATATTTAAAAACAAAACCTTAACTAGTTTTTATTTCTCAAATTTCAACATAAAAGAAGTGCATCTTTTTTTATAGAGTTTATAAAAGAAACTATCACTAATTACTACTGAAGTATGCATTATTCTGCATTATTTCAATACACATATTATAGAGATTTGCCATTTTCTTTCTAGGTTATAAAATCCATTATATGTAAATGAATTCATGAAGCAGACAGATATGACTACCCATATTCAGATTAAAAAATCAATACCAGACAAACAGATGAACTGAAATAATGCAAGTTATAAATCATACTAGCAGGATAAAATGAGGTAATAACTAGTTAATTAGAATATGGTACTTTTAGGGGACCACCTGTATCATCATAGCTACATAACATCAGATCCAAGGATAAATCTAAACACTACAAGTGACTTTTGCAGGTCAAGGAAAAAAGAAAAGTGCCTGTCTTTAAATTATAACAAAATGTCTTTGAAAGTACAAGGTGAGAGGTAATAAAAATGACAAGTTATGACAAGGAGATTCTCTGCTGCGCACTTTTATAGATCTAATTTTATGGGTATACAAGTTCATCAATAAAAGCCACTTTAAACCAGGGAGTTAACAATGAACTAGATGGCCTACTTAATGTCTTATTCCTTTTTAAGAAACACACAAAACAAGTACTTAACTAATCAATCAAAAAGCATTTATTAAGCAACTAGTATTTACCAGGTGCTATGCTAGGTACTGGAGATACAAAGACAAAACTTAAAACAAAGCCTACTCTCAATGAACTTACATTCCAAGAACTGCAATACTAGAGCATAATTAAAACAGAAAACCAAACCAAAAGCAATCATTTCAAAGTGCTAATGTTGAGAAGAAACAAAGGGTGTTGTCATTGTTGACACATACAACAAAGTAGTTAGATCAATTATGTGTGCAGATTTTGGCTGCAAAAGTTACAAAACAGTAGAGACTCTGAATATACAATTCAAATCATATGACATTTTAAGTCCTAGTAATCTAAGTTCTTAAAAATCACCTTATTAGGGCAGCGAGGTGGCGCAGTGGATAGTGCACTGGCCCTGAAGTAAGGAGGACTTAAGTTCAAATCCGGCCTCAGACCAAACACCTGACACTTACTAGCTGTTCAAATCCGGCCTCAGACCAAACACCTGACACTTACTAGCTGTGTGACCCTGGGCAAGTCACTTAACCCCAGTTGCCTAACAACTAAAAGAAAAACAAACAAAACAAAACAAAAAAAACACCTTATTGACAATTCTTATTGCAAAGCTAATCTACACTTTAATAAAGTAAAATACCCATATCCTTTGATGGCGAAATCCTATTTTATACATATTAAACATGTCAAAGGCAAAAAAAAAGTAAGATTCTATAGCTATCAAAATATTCACTACAGCACTTTTTGTGGAGGCAAAGAACTGAAAAATTAGACAGGTACCTACTGCTTATGGAATGGCAAAGCTATGGAACAAGAATATAATGGAAAAATAATAGCAAATACTTCGAGATTTGCAAAACCCTTTACATACAGTCATTAGATCCTACAACAATCCTGGGAGGTTCATGCTATTATTATTAACATCCCCTTTTTACAGATGAAGAAACTGAAGTTCAGAGCTGAGTGACTTGCTCAGAGTCACACAACTATTAATTATTTGAGAACAGAATTTAAATGCAGGCCTTCCTGACTCCAAGACCAGCACTCTTATGTCCATGCCTTCTAGCTATATCTTAACATTACTTTGCCATAAAAAAACAGTAACAATTCAGGAAAACATGGGAAGACTTATGTGAAATGATGCAGAACAAAGTTAGCAGAAAACAGGAAAACAATATACACAATGACTACAGCAATGTAAATGGAAAGAATTTTTTTAAAAAACCTGAACATTCTATAATTATAATAACCCAGCTTTGCCATTAAGCAGAGCTGAGGAATACTACACCTTTCCTTCATTGTAGAGGTGGAGCATTATAATAAAGGTATATTGCATATACTGTCAGATGTCAACATATTGACTGACTTGCTGAACTTTTTTTTTAAGGGAAGGTTAACTAGGTATAAGGGAGATATATTAAGATTAGAATGTAACAAAATCAAAGGTATCACTAAGTTTTTTTTTTAAATAAAAATTTCAAAAATAGAGGAATTTCTATTTCTAATAGTCAAATTGCATGATTTAGACATTTATACAAAGTCTACCTAAGGCAATCTCACTTTGCTCACTGTTCAGTCCCATAATACTGGTACTCTAAAATGAGGTAAAGTTCCCCAGCTCTCTTGTATTTCTCACACAACTTCAAGAGAAGCAGCACGACATGGTAAAAAGATGACTGGACATGGAGTCAAGACAGCTTCAGTTTCAGATTCTACCACTGAAAACCTAATACCTATAAAGCTAAAGGCAATTCACAACTTTTCTAAGCCCCCAACTTCATCATCTATAAAAATGAGGATAATTAAGATCATATGATCTAATGTATATCAAATGCTATGTCACACTTCAACTAGTACCCTTGCTCCACACTTTGTTTACTGGTTCTGCATAAGTGACCTAATGTACTTATCATATATTATCATTAGACAATTACAGCTGAACAGTTTAGCCCTTTCCTACACATGCAAAGTCCTCCTTATTTAAATTTGTCTAAGGGTGACCTCATTGATTAGTCGATAAACAAATCCACTTCATAGCTACATTCTCCAGCCTTCTTGCTATGGTACTCTTCGGAGAGACACCACAAAACAACCAACCAACCAACAACAATAAATAGGTGGCATGCATATGGCATTCAAGGTTTACAAGAAATTTATACACATTAACTAATTTGGACTTCACAACAACCTTGTAAAGCAAGTACTCAAGTATTATCATCTCCATTTTACAGATAAGAAACTGAGATCCAAAGAGGTTAACTGATTTGCCCCTAGTCAAAAAATGAATACTATCAGAGGCAGAAGCTGAACCTCTGTTTCTGCTGACTAAAAGTCTAGCATTCTAACAGTCTAACACTGAAGGGCTGTGTTATGCCCTATAGTGGACACACTATACAACATGCCCCAGAATGTACTCAGAGAAATTCTAAAAGAAGGGAAAATTTTAAGAGAAGTACAGGAGAAGGATAAAAGTCAGACAACAAAGAAAAGGGAAATGATAATAAAAATTCCCATTATTCCATAAGGTAAACTTCTCCATGCATTAGAGGGGGCAGTCTAGGCAAAGGGAATGAGACCAGTACACCACACTTCGACCACTGTTTCAGGGGATGCATCAAATAAAAACATAATGGAACGGCATGCAAAGGAGAAAACAGATGCACTGAAAGAGCCAGAGTACCTAAATAGACACTGAAAGTGAAAAAATGATGAAAGTATTTTCAGTGATTTTTAATACGTCCTTCATCTACACCAACATTTTTCTAAACATGTTTTTCAAAAAGGAGCTCCTGTTAGTCTACAAAAATCTCCAGAGGTGTTCAAGATTATGGAAGCATTTTCAAGGACACAAACAGGACTTCCTCACAAAGCCCTAAAAATGTCATTAGGTATTAGAACTTCCAATTTTTTATCATATGCTGTAAACAGAGCAGTATCATTAAGTTAATCATTGTCACTGCTAATATTCTAGGGGGCAGTTAGGTGGTGCAGTAGATAGAGCACCAGCCCTGAAGTCAGGAGGACCTGAGTTCAAATCTGGCCTCAGACCAAACATTTGACACTTATTAGCTGTGTGACCCTGGGCAAGTCACTTAACCCCAATTGCCTAATAAATAAATAAATAAATTTTTTTGAAAATGATATTCTAAACATTTATGACCATGGTATAACAATAAACCAAAGAAAATACACTGAGTTCAAATATTCCACTAGCTGGTAATTTAGTTTGAAGATCATTATACTAATACTTCCAAAGAATAGAGGAGAAAAAGAAATAAAATTCTGTTTGCTACTTTTTGCAGTGCTAATTTTTTAAAAAGCTGGCACCGTCAATTACAATGATGATTATCTTCAGATTTCATAATTTCTGCTATCCTTGTTTCCTACTGTCACATGTTATCCACAGTCCATTTGATCCTCAGTTTGCTAGAGAAACAAATCTTGAAAAAGAGATGGATGTGAAATCCTTTATATTTAGATTCAAAAAACCAACTGTGCAAGTACAGGCTGAAGGAAGAAATGTCTCATTAACAAATGCATCAGTCAATCAAACAACAAGTAATCTTCAAGAACTTAACACTGCCAGGCACTGTGCTACATATTAGGGATGTAAGTACAAAAAAATAAAACAAGGCCTTACCTTACAATAAACTTACGTTCTAATGAGGGAGAAAAGAAGCATGTAAAATACATATGCCATCATGAATATAAAGTTAATAAATACTAATATGAAGTAGCTAAATACAAGGTAGGTTGGAAGAGATAATACTAGCAACCAAGGGTAAGGAAAGTCTTCAAGCAAAAGATTGAGCCAGGGCTGAATAATAAAAGAAAAAAGGGATTCTATGAAATGGAGATAAGAAATCTATTCCAGGCATGTGGGACAGCCAAAATAAAGGCAAGGAGATGGGAAATGAAGTGTCATGTGTGTGGAACCATGAGAAGGTCAGTTTGGCTGGATCACAGAGCGTTAAGGGAGAAGTAATGTCCAATGAAATAGTTTAGGGCCGGATTATATTGGGTTTAAAAGCTAAATAGAGGAGTTTCGGATTGCTTGAGTAGGGGAGTTGCAGAGTCT